TGACAATCAGTTGTTAAATGTCACAATATAATTTTTTCTGGAAATGTATTCAAGAAACAAAATTGTCCTATGATGTATTCTTAGGACAAAACCAATCAGCAACTTTTGCCACAAAGCAAGATTTGTAGCGCTCCAGTCAGATGACACAGGGTGTGTTGCATACTCTCTCAAATACGGCGGGAAAATGTTGTCATTTGCCGGCATAGGTTGGGGGGACTGGCCGGGCCAGCAGGCAGCAATTCCGGGTGTTTATTTCTCATCGTCAGTTTCCATATTTTTTTTTAAAAGATTATTGACCATAAAAGTTTGATCTAACTTTTGTGGCCCTTTTTTAGCTTTCGTTGTGTAAATGGAACTGGTCCAGAATTTGAAAGGCCATTCAAAATTGAAACCGCTGTGGCCGGTGCGGCTTATACGCCGGTGCGGCTAATTCGGTGACTTCAAATCTTAATTTGCAGATTTTTGCGTGCTGCGGTTTATGTTCCAAGCGGCCTATATTCCGAAAATTACGGTACCATGCCAGCGCGGTGCAGAGCACGGGTACTGTACACAAGCACGCAGCCACGGTCCACCATGGCTGGCCATGCACCCTTGCAAAATGGTGACACTAAGTGCAGCAGCTTAGTACAAAATGTTGATATTATCATGATTATTGTTCAACGTTTTGCACATGCATGGGATTCTGAATCTTTCGAAAAGAGGCCTTTGAGAATTCAATTCAATATTTTTAATGCTTTTTAAGTCCTTAAATTTAGGTAATTCAATTTAAGACTTTTTAAGACATTTAAAGGACCTGCAGACACCCTGAAAAAAGGCTACATGGTTGTCCACTCTGATCTGTAAGCACATGTGGTCTTTTTGTCTTCAATCAACTCAAAAGCTGGTCTGATGGCACCAGTGATCAGTGTTGAACTTGACTACATCAGAAGTCTGGTCAGAAGTAAATTATAAGATAATTCACATTCCCACTCCACACTTAACAGGAGATGAATGATAACGAAGACATGCCTTGTTCAAAGTTCTTACAAAAATAGCTTGTGACTTGACTTGTAATTTATGAGTGAATTGTTATGCACTTGTGGTTGGCTTGAGATGCATGTGTGAGGGACTTGTGGTTGGCTTGTTATACACTTGTGGTGGACTTGTGACTGACTTCCCATGCAACTGAGATCTACTTGTGATGGATGTTGATATACTTGTTACACCTTGTACAGGAATAATGACAACACAAATGCATTGGGGGAGGGCGAAGAACTAGGTTTGGGCGGTTCAAAAATGTCCGGTTCCGAGTCGGAATTGGCTCCTGGAAAAATCAATGAAAAACATGAGCTCTTGCAGGGTTCGACCTTAGCGGTGGTCCGCTGGCCAAATGCCAGTTGAATTGCCGGCGGACCAGCTGAAACACCTTGCCAAGTGGTCCGGCTGGCCAGCTGAAAAAATCTGTGTCAAAAAAATGCTTGTTGTATTTATTTGGTTTCTTACTTACATTCGCTATTTTTTTTTCAAAAGAACCTCCGTTATTTTTACAAATTCGCTTCGCGATATGACTACTTCGCAACTCGATGTCACGGTGACTATAATCATGCGCGTAAACCCAGCTCAATGCAGCGATGACTGGTTCCCGCTGCGCCAATTTAGAAGACATGATGAAAATGTGGTAACTAGTCTGTGCATGGCTATGCGATCGATAGCGCTAGCCCGGCTAGGCATTGTGCAGGCACGTGCTCTGTCAACTGGTCGGATTCGACATCGTAAAAATGCTAAGAAAACACCGATGGAGAAAGAACATTTTTGCAAGTTAATTCACAGATGTGATCTAGCTTATCTGTGTATGTATTTTCCGTGTTCAAGATTTCATTTTGAGATCGCTCTACTCGTATTTGACGTGATACAATGCATCCTGTTTCCCGAAATTTTCGACCATAAAAACAAGGTCTGTTGGCTGCGCCACACACTGCACAGTGCATCACACACTACGGAGTTTTGTCCAGTTTCCCGTATTGACTAGGGTTGTGCATAGGCTATGGTGCGAACAACCTGAATTTTCCATTATTCTTTACGAATTATCGAATGTAAATATATTGACAATAAGGCCAAAAAAAAGAATAGTTCTGCTTCCGGTTACCCGACCGACCCTATTTTTAGGCTGCGACCCTAAAAATTTTATCGGCAATTCCAAAAAAAAAGAAAAAAAAAAGATTGAATCAATAAAAATAAAATCTTGTTGTCTTTTCTGTCTTCACAAAATACCTCTCAACAACCCTTTTGCATCAAAAAATGCTTGTATTTATTTGTTTTCTTACTTACATTCGCTTTTTTTCAAAAGAAACCTCCGTTATTTTTACAAATTCGCTTCGCGATATGACTACTTCGCAATTCGATGTCACGGTGACTATAATCACGTGGCGATGACTGGTTCCCGCCGCGCGCGCCGCGCAGGGGCCAATTTAGAAGACATGATGAAAATGCGGTAACCAGTCCATAGCGCGCTAGCAGTGCAGGCCACTGGTCGGACTTGACATCGTAAAAATGCCAAGAAAACACCAATGGAGAAAGAACACTTTTGCAAGTTAATTTACAGAATTGATCTAGCTTGTCTGTGTATGTATTTTCTGTGTTCAAGAGTTCATTTTGAGATCGCACTACTCGTATTTGTGCCGTGTGTTTCTTGAAATTTTTGACCGTAAAAACGGGTCTGTCGGCCCATGGTGGGCCGCTCACCAGCTCCCTGCGTTTTGACTAGCGTTGTGCATATGGTGCGAACGACCTGAATTTTCCATTATTTTTTGAAATTATCGAACGTAAATATATTGACAATAATTAAAGGTAGGTTTTATTCACTTTTTGTTGCCATTTCGTGTATAGCTTTCGTAGTGCAATGGAAATCAGGCTATAACTTCGCATTATTATAACTGAATACCCCATTCAATCTGCATAAAATAATTGGCAAAAAAAAAAAGAATTTCCGACCGACCGACCCTAGTTTTGAAAGGCATGTAATCGGAAGCAGAACTATTTTTTTTGGCCTAATTAAGGTAGGTTTTATTCACTTTTTGTGGCCATCATTTTGTGTATGGCTTTCGTAGTGCAATGAAAATAAATCAGGCTAAAACTTCGCATATTGAGGCCTAATTGAATACCCCATTCAATCTGCATAAAAAAAATTGGCCAAAAAACCCCAAAAAATCCAACCGACCGACCCTATTTTTAAAAGGCATGTAATCTGAGGCAGAACTATATTTTTTATTTGCGGCCTCAGATCATGGAGGAAGAAAATAGACCTCTATTGCTCAGGTGACATGATGACATGGGTGTTGACTATAGTCTAATTATGACTTATGTGAAACTGATTAACTGGTGGGTACACGCTGTACTATAAGACGGACCAGTCAAAAACCTGGCGGACCAGTCAAAATTCTAGCCAACTGGTCCGGCTGGCCAGTCAAAAAAAATGTTAAGGGCAACCCCTGTCTTGAAATTACATGTAAAGAATAATGGTGTCACCTTGTGAGGTCCGTGCTCCATGGATTTCAACGTGCAATACACGTTATTCCACTACGTATTTGGCTTCAAATGTGTAATTTTTTCCTTTGAAACTATAGCCTTGACCAAGCCTGTCAAGCCAAGCTTTTTCACTGAACAAACGGTCCGACAGCCGTTTTACCCTACTTGTCACGGCACACGTACGCCACCCACAGCCCCCTGGCAAGCTCCGCTTTGCCTGTGTGATACGCCCCAGACACAAATCTGTACTGTAATAATAATAATAATAAAGGACATTTATATTGCGCAAAACCTATATGGATATACTCTTCTGCGCATTACAAAAAACAAACAGAAATGCAGAAAAATACAAAATACTAGAAATACTTAATTGTGAAATAAATGTGTTTTTAACCTGGACTTAAATACATTAAGTGAAGAAGACACAGTACACATACTGTACACAGTATTATACAGTAACCATGCCGTGGGAGTCACGCGGAAGACAGCCCTGATGCAACAGTATATGCTCATTATGATAACAAGTACGATGACAATCAAATGAATATTCATCACTACTGCACAATGCAGTCGAAGGTCAATAAACTTTGTACACGTGCGTGTGGTTTGTTTTGTTTGGGTCAAAGTGCACGGGTTCTGATTGGGTATCGTGTAAAATATGTGCATCAGAAACTTTCGGCCAATATCGGCCGAGAATGTAAAGAAACACATGAGGAATTGGCCACGGTTGCGTCAAGGCTGTCTTTCGCTTTGACTGCGGCCGCGTGGTGGTTACTGCATGGCGTGTACGTAGTATGTAGGTAGGTACTGTATACGTACCGGAGAAGTGCGCTGTACATGTATACATGTACGTACTGGCAAAGTGCGCGGCGTACATGTGCCGTGACAAGTAGGGCAAAACGGCTGACGGACCTTTTGTTCAGGGAAAAAGCTTGGCTTGACAGACTTGGTCAAGTCTAGTAAAACTATGGAGATTGTGTTATTAAAGGCAAACTTACCGTTTCTTACGTTATTTTCTGTTTCTTGCCTATGATTTTATTTACCGGGACGACCGCCATGCCACCAATAATAGAATGAGTGCACATACGCGCACGTACATGTACACTGGTACCCACTACCCTGCCTTCAATGTACATTGCACGACTAGTTACTAGTGTAGTGTGGAACCGGTCGAGTGCTGGAATTGGCTCTGATGGACCCGGGTACAAAATACCCGGCTCCGATTCGAACGAGTCACGGACAGTACGGATGTACTACGGAGCTTAAGTTGCAAGATTTTCACGCGATTAAATTCATACGGAGCCGATTGCCCAATTCTCGGCTCTGGCTTTGTGCACAGTACAGAGAATATGTAAGAACCTATTCTTTTGGAGCTGGAACCGAGCATAGCGGATACCCGGTTCTTGAAAAGATTGGACTCGCATTTCTGGTTCTCATATTGGAACCGGGTAGAACCGAGGAATGAAAGGAACCTCGCAATACTACAGAGAACCCACCTCGATTGTCTGCCGGGCTGTGGAGTCCTTCAAGACTTCATCCACTGCCTCCTGGGCAGACATGAGATTCGAGCAGTAGTAGCCATACTGCAAGAAAATCTTGTGGTGCTTAAGGAAGACTTCACTGATGGTCATATTGGTGCGAGTCCGGTGAGGCCTGGAGTTCTGGGTGGAACTGAGGTCTGCGTTGAACTCACAGTGGCCCCGGTGAAGCTCCTCCAGATTCAGGAAGATGCTATCCAGGACCTTGGGAGGAATCGTGTGGACCAGCTGGTTCTTAAATCCCTGGTTGACAAAGGTAAAGAGGGTGACTGACCACATATAATACATGTACATTTACTCCTTGATCAATCCATAAAACTATATTACACAGAGACAGGGGGTAACAGACAGGGCATTTTATTTTTTTTCTTTCTGGTAATGAAACCAAGGATTCCTCAAAAGTGCCCTAAGCACTGTAGCTCAAAAGCCTGAAGAAGCCTGTAGAGAGAATACAATGAGAAGAAATTACGGTTTTAGAGGTGGGAGGAAAAGCCCAGATGAATATTCTGAGGAAAACCCACAGAATCTGGTAGAGACTGAAAACCCAATCCACATATTGGCCCGGGCGAGATTCGAACCCGGGTCACAGCGGTGGAAGGCGAGGAAAGTACCGCTACGCCAACCTGACTCCCCTGCATTCGGGCGGTACAGCACTACAATGGTCACAGTGAGATGTGTGATTGAAAGTTCGTTCCCATCTTGGGACAACATAGTGTTTTGCGTTTTTGAGCAAGGTACTTGACTTGGACTATATTTCAATAATATCGTAGAGTGACAATATTTTTTGATGCCGAGCAATACCAAATGATTTTGTTCAAATACCAACAAACTCAGTATGGACTTTTATTACCATAATTGTCCTTGTTAAATGTGAACAGATGTGTGTAAAAGCCCTCTAAAAACAGCTAGGCCACATCTGACTTATATTGATAATTGTTTCAATTCCTTGTGGTCACGGTATCTGAATATTGTGCTTACTAGTCGGCCATCAGGGGCTTCAAAGTTCTGCCCATGCTGCCTATTTGCAGTTTCCTTAATAACACCATGTGTTATTGTTTTTTGATGATGTAATAGTCCTCCCAGATAATTATCTGACAATACTGAATACCATGATATTTTTGTGATAGAATACTGTAGATTCTCATAATCCAATCCTGCACATGCCTACAAAGCACTTGACTACAACTGCCTCTCTCCACCCAGGAGTATAAATGGAAACCGTTAAGAGTAGAGGTGACATTTCCCTGATCACTCACAAGCTGCTGCAGCAAACTGGTCTCAAGGCCTTATGAACAGGGGTGATAATTGGCAAGTGCTTTGAGACAATATTACTAGGTGCAACATTATTAACTCCGACAAGAAAAAAATGAAGGATGTAGGACAACATCATTTCTCTGGCCAAACATCATCAAAATATAAATTCCACTACAGGCAGTGGCCAAAGTGCTGAAACTTGTTGAACATGAGAACAAATTGTCACCTTTTCATTGCTAATACTACTGAACTGCCTTACCAGTACTGATCAATATGAACTACAAGACTTTTTTTATTACCAAAACTATACACTTACATTGATTAACATGTAGAGAGCATCTACATATTTCTTCTCTGTTTCGACAATTTCCTCTATGCAGTATTGTCTCTTGTCTTTCTTGGGCTGCTGAAAAGAATTCATGAATATTAATAATAGAAAGGCTAACTACTATTCATGGCTATCTGATTATGACTTGAATCTAATCAAGATGCAAGGCCAAACATGTTTTATTCATAATTCATAAATACCTAAGACAGTTTACGCATTCCTATTGGTCAAGAGCCCATCACGTGGCCAGTCTTAAACGGATGATAAAGACATGGCTAGCTGGTCTTAAACACTTTTCCAGTGTCACAATAAAATGTGGACTCCTAAAAATCCAGTGCCTCTTATCGTTTCATTGGTTGAACGTTCAAAATCCTCACGTAGGCATGCGCAACACTACCAGGGAGTTAGAATTTTATAGTTCTAAATTCAAAACGCAACGCGCCAGGTGCGTTCTGCGCGACATCGCGTAGAACATGATACGCGCGCGTCAATCTCCATAAAAGGGTTGTTTACATCTTACGCGCCAGCTGGACACTCCATTATTTTGCAGGAGGGATGTTTCAAAAAGCATAAAGTGAATTTGTTGAACAAAATAGGGATGTTTTGAACGAATTATATGATTTTTTTTTACCGAGAAGGTATTTATGAATGGGAATAAATATGTGCTCCGTCGGTATTTATCACTCTGTTTAAGACCACTTAGAGTCTGGGTGCTGATAATTACCCTCGCCTCCGACTCGGGTAATTATCAGCACCCAGACTCTAAGTGGTATTAAACAGAGTGATAAAAACCTCCGGAGCACACATTTATTCCCTTATTTATAACTCATGTATAATGGGTTCAATTATGGGACGTACAGCAGACCACACATCTCGCTTCATAATAATGTCAAATGTTCTAATGAATATTCTTCTCCTAAAATAATTCACTGATATCCAATGTATGTGTAACTGTTTTTTTTTAATGTACCGCTACTTTTTTTCAGGTGTTAATGTGCTCTATTTTAAGTGTTGGGTTTGTGAACTTGAATACTATGCAGAGCTTGATGCCCTCATGTCAATCAAAAAAAATTCAATAAGAAAGAATAAGATTTTGCAGTGGGCATGTAACACTCACTGCCAATTCTTGAAATAACAAAGCCTTGCAAAGAACATCTTAAAGCACAACCCAACACTCTACCTCTGCTAAAATGACGGTTAGACTACTGTAGTTCCTCTACAGAGTGAACATTTGATTGCTATTCATGTAAATAAAACGACTAAAAAACCCTAAAAAGAATGCTGTGTTTCCAGGTAACTTAACTGTTCCGGGTTGGCAATTGATTTTGTATCATTTTAACTTTTTTTATTCAACAGGTGATGGTTATTTGTTTCTGTTTTAGAATAATTTATCTACATGTATGTATTTATTTTTTAAGTCAACGTATCCCAAATATGAGTCTGAACTCGTATGCAATAAAGTGGTTTCATACAATGTCTACTTTTCAGTTGTTCTCCAATATGTTCATGCGTAAATATGTAGTGTGAATGTACAAAACAAACTATTTTGGCAATGTCAACAGAAACACAGCATTTTTTTTTGGGGGGGGGCTTCCGTAGAGGCAATGACAATATGAAGTCATTTGGCAATGATGAATACGCTGACACAATCTGGCTGTACAGTTCAATTGCATTGTAATTGCGTATAGAATCTTTTAATGGCGTATATGGGAAAGTTTGCAGTGAGAGTAACATGTACATGTATATTACACACTTCACTGTGGAATTGATGTGGCTTCAAGTACAGATACTATGTTGTGCCATCTATTTCCACAATGCAAATGACACACTTTCATGGCACATTAACAGTTTTGCAGCAATCCATAGAAAGAGTCTCTGTGAGTCAGTGTATGGGGAACCCATTTACTTTATATCGCTCTTGGTAAGTGCCTACATGCTTACTTCTGGTTCGGCTAGGTTTGATTGTAAGGGAAATTGTGGCGGTTGGAACTGTGACTTCTGCTTGCGGAGCGACACAAGGTCATCATAAATGCTGTCCTCTTCTCCTTCAACGGTGTCATAAATGTCGCCCTCATTGGCCAGATCATGCTCACTGAAATGGTGATAAAAGTACTTACATGATAAATGTTAATTCTTCTTGAACGTTAGGCTATCATGCTTTTGTCATTAGTATACTATCCCTAACCCCCTAGTTCTTCCTCAGGACTACCCTGCTAAATCCAACAGAGTCCAAACGGAATTTCCTGTTCAATCCACTATGCCTCATTTTCAGTTGCCTGCTGAATCCAACATTTTACATCAGGAATGTACACAAGGGGTTAACTGCTCAATCCAACAGGCTCCATCAGGTATGTGACATAGTTGGATCCTGTTGGATTCAGCAGGGTTAGGGTTACCATGTCGTGACATTTCCCACTGTATATTGTATGACAGCTGATACTTACTCTGCAAGATCTTCCAGATTTTTGTAGATATCTTCATCATATGTCTGCTGATCCTCAAAATTAACCGCAAAGGCTCTGCAAGTTTTTGAAAGAAGCAATATTTTTCTTCATTAAACATGAGTTATAAATAAAACTAAAGTGAAAAAAATTGATTTTACAACATATCTATAAACTTGTATTTACGACAATTCAGTCTGTTCAGGCTCTAACAGTTTTTTAACACTAAGCTTAAGACTTTTCTTTTTACAAAGGCTTTTGTATAAGGTTTTACTATTATCTTTTTTAAATGTAGGTCTTGTTTTTGTAATTTTAAGTTTGATTGTTTTGACAGTGTTTTCTAAAATATCTAGTGTTTTTTACATTTAAGACTAATGTTTAATTCAAATTCGTACTTTTAATATTTTAGCTACTGTTTAAATTTGTTGTAATGCGCATTTGAACATTTTATGGTATATGTGCATAATAAATGCAATTTTATTATTAAGGTGGATGCATATTCCTGACAAACAGGCTTTCCACAAACAGTAAGACATATGCAACCTTCATGAGGAACAGGCTTGTGCAATAAGTTAAACCAGGAAAAAACCAAGACCAATGTAATCCATCCAGAATATTGAATATTTATGGAATGAGTACTGGGTGAAGTTGACACTATCATTCATATTCAGTAGACAGGACAGTGCTCAAAGCACATTGTACATGTACAGTACATGTACATGTCAGTAGAACCTCCAGTGTATCCAATTATGCAACTACGTAATATTCATGTAATACATGACAATGAATTAAAGGACTCCCCCCCCCCCACAAAAAACGGGCATATTCATGCCCCTCTTCCATTGTGTCTGCAATTTTAATACAAGTCAATGAAAATGACTGCTACTTACTGAACACCTTGTGCTGCAGCTAATGGTGATTGGGACAATTTGGAAAGTGTGTAGATAACCTATAACAAATTTATAAAAAAAATCCATTAAACTATCGTCTACAAATAATGCCAGTTTTGATAAAACCGTTAAGCAGAAAAGTTTGGCCAGCTCATTCAAGCAATAATATAGGTCTCGTTCAAATGACGTCATTTCTTACAGACCATCCACGTGCATCAGCATTTTTGAGCGTCAACTTGCATAACGCCCATCAGCTGCGTCGTATTTCGAACACATTTCGAGCAATAAGCGCAGTGTTTGGAACATTTTCAACACTGCGCAATGCGTGCTAGATTGCGTAAAATACGCAGTTGCACTTCTACAGTAATGGCCGTCATTGAACGAGCCCTATCATATCAAAATTTCATGGAGTTGCTAAGCACATAATTATCACAAAGCTGCATCAGACAGAAAATTGCTCAGTACAGAAACTATTTGTTTTTCCCCAAAAAGTTATATGTTCTAGTAGCTCAATTATTTCGCAGGCTTACACTCATGACTGGTTTTCAGACGTTTGTTTTTGTTTGTTTACTTGTTGGGTTTGTTTGTTTTTATTTTGTTTGTTGGTTGGGTTGTTTGCTCAGCACATTTATGTGCTGTTAAAAACACATTTTTCCCCTATACTACAGCCAGTGGCGTAGCCATGGGGGGGGGGGGGGGACGTGGGGGGCGACAGCCCCCCCATGAAACCTTGTCGCCCCCCCAGTTGCCCTCCCCCCCCACTGAGATTTTGAGTTTCTAAAAAAGTTATCATTGATCTACATGACGCCCCCCCATGAAATGTTCCAGCCCCCCAGCGCCCCCCCACTGAAAAATTCCTGGCTACGCCACTGACTACAGCTCTGTCATATTTGGCAAGAAAAAATCAATCAACCCCTTAAAAATGTAAAAGAACAATGAAAGAGAGTTAATCAAGCGTTAATTTGATACAAATGTCTTGAACTCCTGTGAATTTGTAATTATTTTTTCCCAGTTTTCCCAGTGGGATAGGATATTTAAATGTTTCATTGGTGTCTATGGGAATTTATTTACTGACTTGCTCCCATACAATTAAAAGGATGTAGGCTCCTGGCAATAATGCCCAGGGTTCAAAAAAACATGTCAACAACGTGAACATGGGCATTGCCAGGGGTTTTTTTTAGAGGGGGCAAATCACAAGCAGGAAAACATTTGCTGACAGACCACTCCTTGGTAACCAGGAATTAATCCAGTCGCCCGGCCTCAGCATAAATAACAAATAGGGGGGGGTAGGGGAACATCATCTGACTCCAGGGGACGCTCTTCAAAGTGGACAGTATTCAATGTGTTTTCATTCATACTATTGGGTTAAAAGTTGGTGAGGGTAACACATCTAGTGCCGCTTGTGAGATGCTGATTAAATGAACACCATATTATTGACTCCCCTTTTCCCTCATGACACCCATGAACACGAGTACTCAAGAACTTGTTGAACTTTGCGTCTAATGAAAAGAGGAGAATACCTAGCAATCTGTTTGCTTGTGCCATTTTTTAAAAGTAATGGAAATTAATAGCCAAATTGGAAAGTTGGCTTCAACTTTTTGTGGGGCTGATAGTCATGCAAATATTAAATCCATACCTGGCCAAAGTCAGTGACGTCAAACAGTCCATTGGGTTCGAAGAGATCCTCACTTCTGAGGCCAAAGACTCTAGAACAGGCTTGCAGGAATGTGCGAATATTTTTAATGCAGAGGAACTGTTGGAAAGACAGGGAGGAAAATGTCATCAATGCAATTCAATCTTTACAGATGTTGCATTCAAAAAACTTGATAAAATAAATAAAATAAAATACACATTCTTCACTGTTTGTCTATTTCCATCTAACTTGATGTTAGCAATGTTTGTTATTTTGGGGTTTACATGTAAGGGAGAGTGGGGAAAACGGACGCTCAGGTAAAACGGAATCCCCTTCATATCTCAAATATGTCACAGGACAAGTACAATGTACATGGTGTCAAAGCTGGTAAAATCCAATGTCAAAATTTGAAGACACCCATCTGGGAAATGGTTAACACCATCAATACAAGACTTTTGACACCAAAAGTAACGCTGTATCTCTTAAATAACCCCAACCCCCTGAAATTCAAAATTAACCCCAAAATGGCCTTTTCTGGCTATTCTGCGGATTATAACCTGACTAATCCTGTTGTAGTAAAGACTTATTATTTCAAATTGAAAACATTCAGGCACAATAGCATATGGAAAGAACTCGGATAGATGCTTAAGCTTGAGGCGCTGCCTTGAAAGTTTAACCCCTGAAAGAGACAACAGAAGCATAGCAAGGGCATTTACATGTATATTATTATTAGGGGGGGGGGGATAACAATGTCTTGAAAAGGGCACTTGCACATCCAGGCTGAAATGTATATACAGACACATTTTTTCTCAGTACACTTGGCCTCCGTAAAATCAAATTGGGGAGGGGGGGGGGGGCTGGTACCATCTGTCGATGGGGGTGCTGTTCTAACCGAATAATGCGCACTAGTATAACGGATGTATGGTGCTTTTCATGGCGATACATGCATACAATTCTTACAAAGGCGCCCATACAGCCGATGGCACAATGGCATGACTTTTTGTAAAGTTACAATTTATAGACATTCCTGTATTATTCGTGATTGCACTGATAAATAAGTAAAGGCTGATTCAATGGATATGTATGAAATTACCAGTGTTGGAGGTCTCGAGGCCGGCCTCTGCCTCGAGGCCGATTTTCATGGCCTTGGCCTCGGCCTTGGCCTCGGAGGTGCAAGGCCTCGGCCTTGGCCTCGGAGCCTTCCGGCCTCGGCAAATCGGTCGAGGCCGGCTCGAGGCCGCCCATTTTGATGTGTTTTCTATTCTAATTAATTTTAATTTTTTACCGTACCAAACCCTCGAGATTCTGCCGCAGTGGGTTCCGTGAAACGAACGCATATACAATGTACGCACGAATGAACTGGAAACTGGTTGCATTGAACGTACTCACGTATGTAGCATCTTCGCTTAGCCTGCGCTTCAGCTTTCCACGTGCGTGCAAGCATTATAACTGTTACCGCGTGCCAGACTACATAAGTCTGGCACCAATCCCATCTGCGTACAAGAACATGTGGTAGTAGACTAGTCTGGTTGCAGTGTTGTACAAAATTTTCTCGTTTCGCCTCTGTACCCCGACCTTTAGAAATGATTTGCGGCAAGGTGCAGCAAGCTTAACCATTTCTTTTTATAGGCCACTGTTTCAGTAAAAGTCTGAACTTTCTGGGTACGATCGAGTATACTAGTCCGTACTATTTTTTTTCATAAAGATATGATAAAAACAGTTACGACTTATCAAGTAGATTTTATTTTTACACGGTGATTTAAATGAAAGTTCCGGCTCACACAGTAATGTTTGGCGCAAATGGTCGATATGGAAAGCGCGCGATTTCAGAATTCGTTTTTCCATCCAAATGAATGCAAAGTTCTGAATGAATGTTTTAATAATAGGAGTCAGTATTCCTCGTGGTACCAGGATACTTTTTTGTATTTTTAGAGCCATGTTGATACTTATTACATGTATAAGCACGGTTTGAAATTGACTAATTTTGCGTGGTTACAGATATACGGCCAAAACCTCTGGACTCCCTACCTCTTGCCATGATCTTAAAATTCTTCGAAGCCATTGGATTCAAATCGGATGCTCCGAGAATTCATGGTCATTTTGATGAACTGAGTGATATCATGTACGCATGTTCCGTGTTGCCGTGTTGTTTGGAGTGGGATTGGCCATTGCGAGACTTTGTCTGGTACCGCGGTATTAACAGTGATAATGCGTGGACACTTATCCCGTTGTGTGGAGCGGGATTCGAACTAAGCTTTGCCCGTGCGTAACGGCGGGCCGTCTGGCATTGTCTGGTCGCACCGCGGTGTTTGCTCGGCGCGCGCCTGGACAGTGCGAAGGTCAGGGGGGGGGGGGGTCGTAACTTTTTGGTTATGAGTGGTAAAAACCTGATTCAAAAATCAAGTTGTTGTTTATTTGATGGGGATTCCCATGATATTAAGCATTTTGATAGGTTTTGAAAATAAGATTTATAAAACATGCTAAAAATAAATGATGTAAATCTTACAGAATAGAAACTCAAAATTTGGCCATTTAAATTGTTGTATCTCCAAAGGGCAAACACCTATGAGCCTGATTCAAACGCCATTGATTTTGTTGTGTAATTTGCTTTCAGTGATACAAAACTTGAGATTTCTTTCTTTAAAAAATAAAATTCGCCGGACTCCCTACAAGAGGAAACCCATTGCAAGCTGTAAATTTGTACGCCAGGCACTCCAAAACTCAGTGAATTCAACTAAAAAGATGTTAAAACTCCAACATAATCTTAGCCTTGTTTTAGTGATTTATATTTTATTACGTGTTTTGATAGCTGGCCTCGGCCTCGGCCTTGGCCTCGGAGGTGGTGGCCTCGGCCTTGGCCTTGGCCTCGCGGTTGTGGCCTCGGCCTTGGCCTCGGAGGTTGTGGCCTCGGCCTCGGCCTCGGAGGTTGTGGCCTTGACTACAACACTGGAAATTACTATGCCATCTTTATTAAAGATGAAAAGACGGACATGGATGGACATTCTTGAATCATACTACTTTCATTCTTATGATTAATCCAGCTCTTGTTCCATTTATATTACTTATTCAATGTAAAATTGGTATCATTAAACACTAAAGCAACCTATTTTATTTAGGCCAAACAAAAAAAATGGTGTGTTTACGGTAACGGCCTGAAAAAAATCCAGGTAGGTAGGTAGGGAAATAATTTTATTTTGTAATTTTTTTTTTCATTTCAGTTCTGCATGCCCATGCGTGTTCTTTCGCAAGAAATTGTATAAAACCATTATTCAAGCATTGAAGATATTCAATCGATACCTTTCAATCCAAATTAATTTGTATCGTCGGCCAGGGTTCTCCCCAGGATTTTTTCAAACATGTGGGGGAAGATTTGCTGTGATTCAACAACCCGAAAATGTTAGAACTTTAGAAGCTCTCTTGTGCATTTTAGAGCAAATCTGGGGGTCTTTATCTTAAGATTTGTCCTTGAAATTCAGAGGAGATCTTGTAGGTCACTAATACTTTTGTAATTAAAGAAAAAAAAGCAAAATTGTCAACTTAAAAAAAATTAACATTTCACAACCTGTGTTTCATTGCTTCCTAACTAGAAAAGTATGAATTACATTTACATGTAAGTTTAATTAAGAAATTAAGGTGGAGAAAAAAAACCAACTTTTGCTTCCGATTACATGCCTTTCAAAATAGCGTCAGTAGGTCGGAAAATTATATCGCCAATTTTTTGGGGGTGCTGATTTATGGAGCATCATTCGTACTAATCATAGAGCAAGGAATCATGTTCATTTTGTGCCTGGATTATTTTCATTTGCGCCACGAAAATTATCAAGACTGGCTATCAAAATTGATTAAAACTTGCCTCACCTAATTAAAAATATATTTGAGGTCGGTGATTCCACTTTATGCTTAACATACATCACGGCCGCTGGCACCGCCAACATTCCGCCTTGCTGGCCGAACATCGCGCCGTGCTCACGGCCCACGTGGCCGAAAATCTTGCACTACTGCAGAAACACGCTACGATGTTTCGCCACAAGTTCGAGCTTTGCAATCTCGTCTTTTTAATGGAAAACACATACACAGAAAGTAAAGATCACGTTCTGTGAATTAATTCGCAGAAATTCTCTTTCTCCAGCGATGTTTGTTTGGTAATATTTTTACGATCCAACTTCGGCCCACTACATCATCATGCTGTATGATACGAAGTATGGACCAGAGAGAGGCAGTAGTCACTGGTTCTGGTCCTTCATCATAGCATTGATTCCGTTAGCTGGCGAAGGGAACCAGTGTACCATGCTGTATGTTAGCTGGGTGCTGCAGTCGACAGAACACGTCATCTTGTGCATTTTGATTACACATGCATCGGAAAACAGGATTTTGGTCAAGATTATGCATGTCAAGATGAAATAATGGCGTATGTAACGATCAAATTGTGCATTTTAATGGCGTGTATGATAATTATATTGTGCGTATCAGGGGCTAAAAAATGTGATCGGCATTTTTTTGTTGGCATATCGGGCCGGCCGCAATTCCAGCGTATCGGGCCGATACGCACGTTTGTACGTGGGGCGGGGAGAACCATGCCATCCGTCGGGCAGCCAGGCGTACCCCGATGCATTTGTGCAAAAATAATCGTACTTCATAGTTTGAGAATTCAAGTTTTGAGATCGTCGCGATTTTTGCACGTTTAACACAGGTATGTTTGTGTCAAATCATGGTCAGATTCAAGTGTGGAAAATGGTTTTTGTTCGTGGCAAATAATTAAAAGTACTTGAAATGTTTGAAATTTGTCAATTATCAACCTTCAAAATGGCAATAAAAAGTTTGAGGTCGGCAATTTGGCCGAAAAAATTCCAGGTCGGTCGGGTTACCGTAAACACACCATTTTTTTTGTTTGGCCTTATGAAATTGAGATGCGACTTGATACATGTTCATAACAAGGACACACATTTGTGACAAATTTCTGTCCCTGTTATGAAAATGTATGAAGTCTTGAAGATGTGTACATCCCTGTAGTTTAAAATTACCCACGGGGGCGATTCCACGGTTACTCGCATTACACTTTTTTGCACCCTTTCATGTTCCGATTGCTGTGGTTTTAGCAGTTGTCGGACTATCTATCTCTTATGCTGCATAAATATACCCTATATTTCAAGGCTTCACCCTGATGG